CTTAGTTTGTATCCTAGAGTAAATAAACGAGCTACTACCTTTTTTGAATTAGTTCATTCTGATGTTTGGGGTCCGTGTCCTATTGAGTCCAAAGGTGGGTTTCGGTACTWTGTTACCTTTGTCGATGATTTTTCCCGTGTAACTTGGTTATATTTAATGAAATATCGTTCTGAGTTACTTTCTCATTTTCGTAACTTTCATGCTGAAATTCGAACTCAATTTGGTGGCTCTCTTAAAGTTCTACGAAGTGATAATGCTAAAGAATATTTTTCTGGAGCTCTTGGCTCTTATTTGAGTGAATATGGTATTCTTCACCAATCCTCTTGTGTCGATACTCCGTCTCAAAATGGAGTTGCAAAAAGAAAAAATAGACATCTTCTCGAAACAGCAACGGCCTTAATGTTTCAAATGCATGTTCCAAAATATTTTTGGGCCGATGCTATTTCGACGGCTTGCTTCCTGATTAATCGCATGCCTTCATCAGTTTTTAAGGGTGAAATACTTTATCGTACTCTATGTCCAATGCAACCTTTATTTCCTATTAAACCTAAAATATTTGGTTGCACCTGTTTTGTTCGTGATGTTCGCCCTCAGCTCACCAAATTGGACCCTAAGTCCTTGAAATGCATTTTCCTTGGTTATTCTCGTGTTCAAAAAGGGTATCGATGTTATTGTCCTGATCTYMATAGATATMTTGTCTCTYYCRACGTTACATTCTTTGAAAATACTCCTTTKTCATCATCTTTGAGTACCAGTCASGGGGAGAGTTCACAAGAAGATGATGACTTTCTTGTATATTYCATTGTCTCTCCTTCCACTGAAGAGCTTCCTAGCAWTACATCTTCCTATGTGCCTGATCCTTCTATTCCCACCATTACTCAAGTTTATTCTCGTCGGCAACCTCCTACGRACTCATGCCCTATACCAGCAGCTTCTTCGYCCGAGGATCCAGGAATAAGTGATGACCTTCCAATTGCTCTTAGAAAAGGTAAGCGTAAATGTACTTATCCTGTTTCTTCTTTTGTCTCATATAACCATTTGTCCTCACCTA